CACCGCCCAAAAAAATGACAATATATCCATCATAAAAAGTGACTAGCGCACTGGCCACAACACAATCAGATAACATCAATTGGGGGGTTGGGGGGGGAATGCTTTCAACATTTTCACTGATGGGATGTCATGAACGACACTGCAGATTTGATGATGTCGTCGGTACAATGTAATATTTCTGAATCCCGTCCACGATTGTGAAGGTACTACATGTAAAAATAAGAAAATCAAGGTTTTGCTCCAAGCCGCAATGGCCTTTTCGGATTTCCCCGTCAGAATCTTCATTCCAGCCAGCGTACGGGTATGTGCGCGCCTGAATCTTTTGACCCGCCAAAAATGTGGATTTGTCCAGCAAATAAATATGTGAGCGGTTCACAGGAGGCGAATTTGAAGTTGTGGTGGTGGTGGGATCAAGACCGTTTGGTTACACCAAAGAGACAGATTCATATTTGCACATGTCTACACTCGAAAGAATCTTTGCAGATCGGGACACTTGGCAGCACGCAGCCAGCTGCATCTTACGCTCGTGACTTCCATTTTCATTTCCGCAAACATCTCATTAAGCGGGAGCGGCTAGCACTGAAGCGCCGCCTTTGATTGGGACCGGCAGATGCGAAAGGGGATTTGGACTTACCGCGGGGAAGCAGTGCTCAGGAGCCGCCGCGGCCTCACATCGTTTGAGGTAATCGGCCCAGTCAAAGTCTGGACCCTGGTACCCTACGTAGGACAGAAAGGAAGGAAAAAGGGAATCGAGTTACTCGAGGTGACGGCGCGGGACAAAAGGGGAGCAAACTAACCTGGCGGCGGGCTGAGAGGGAGTCCATTTTTTAGACTCCATTGAGCGGGAAAGATCCCGGGAGTGTCCCTGTGGCACAGGAAGGAGCGCCCGGAGGCGTCCGACTCCTCCATTCCGCAAAGGTCCCATGCTCACACCAGGAAGTAGTGCTCGTCGAACACCTGGTGAGGGCCAAAACAACGCGCTTTGAAAAGCTTTTCTCGTCTGGCGAAAGTCTGCGTCGAGCTAAACGTGAGGCGCAAACATGAGACGGGAGAGCGATTTGCCAGTCGGGTCTGTTACCTTGGCGACAGTGGCCGGCCTGATGGAGATGGGCGCGGCGGGGTCCACGGCTTCCAACTTCATCCCTTCTTTGAAACAATGAGGAGCAACTCCAGGCTGCTCCTGACAACCACACAAGCGCAGATTTTGGCTCACGCTCGACAGGTTTTTGTTTTCACTTGAGATATTTGTCCAAGGACCGCGCCTCAGCGTTCGAAAGCCAAACCAACAAACCGAACGACTCCACCAAGTGTAGCGCTCTAAATGCCAAGTCGAGTGTCCTCTTTTTGTTACTTTCTCGCCGTCGCTTACTCACTTCCACGACGGTGGAAAGACATTTTTGTTTGAGAAAAAGGTTGACGCGTCACGAGAATAAAGTCACATTTTTTTCAGGATCAAGTCGCAGTATTCTGATTTTGAAGGCCAACATTTAACAAGGGGAGGAAGTCATAGTTTAACAGGTACATTTCAAAAATACAACTTTATTCTCATAATATGACACCTTTTATTCAGGAAAATACACCCCCCCCTCCCAAAAAAGATTCCGATTGTCTTGTTCTTAATCAAAAAAAAACAAAAAAAAAACCCCACGATGTTGGCCTTCATCATGTCAGATGCTCCACTTGTCCTGAATGGAAGATGTGGAATCTGTTCTATGAGCCGCCGACCCCCATTTGGAGGTATGAGCTTTCTTTTTGGAATGATATGAAACAATCCGTCGCCAATTGTTTTCTTGAACTATCCAAAACTCTTGCAGAAAGCCAACGTGCGGAAAAGCAATGAAAGATTCAAGCTGTCGGCACCTTGTTGAGCTCTGCGCTCAGAGCTTCGTCTTGAGGAAGCGCGCTGATCCTCCGCCTCACCTCCTCCCATTCTTCTTCTGTTCGCAGGGTCAACAGGTCTGAAATCGGCACAAATACATTGATCGGCCCCAGAGAGCAAACTGCTTAGCAAGTGTCATTGATCTCATTTCGAACGGTGGTCCCCAAGCCCCGGTGCGCGGCCCATTTGGGATGTATTTGGGCGTATTGTTATGCTAATTGGTCCATTTCTTTGTCGTTCGGCGTGCAACTTGATTTTATTCTACATTTGTTTGTACAGTAGAATAACACTATTTGAAAGAAATGATACGACAAATCTTCTTTCTGGTCATAAAAAGGTGAACGTCTCTCTCTCTAATTGTCTTTTGTTGGCAGTAGTGGTGCTTTCAAACCGGCCATTTCAAAGCAGCGACAGCAGCGGTTGCCGGTCCGCAAACAGCGTGCACTTGAGTCAACTGCCCGGTGACGCAAACAAGGTTGAGGACCACTGATTTATAACGCAGCCGTCAATCACCAAACCAAACCGGACTGTATTCTCAACAGGGTGAACTCAAAACACTGAGCAGAGGACTGCTCCGCGCGCGTACTTCGACAAAATAGGAGCACCTCGAATCTCCTTCTTTTGTCTCCAAGCGTACGCACAGCCACACGACCGTCAAAACAGAGCGAGGGCCGATCCACTCACCAGAAGGAGGCCCGAGGGCGCGGCCGTGCTCTCGAGCCCAGCCGGGCGGGTGGAGACGTGGGTGGAGGTAGAAGAGCCAGAGGGTGGCGGGCGTGTCCGGGAGGCCCTCCGTGCCCGCCAGCCGGAGTTTCAGCCTCCCGCCGACGTTCTCCTCCACCTCGGCCGCCCAGGCCAGCCCCGGGTCGACGCCGTCCTGCAGCTCCACGTAGCGGCCGGCGCTGAGTAGCTCCACTGGGTCTCGACCGCGCTGAGGCTGAAGGGAGCCAACGAGGAGATGAGCGCGTGCGCACGCAAAACAGCGAGGCCCGCACGGTGGGACCGGGCCAGGAATTGGCGCTGGTGACAAAGTCGCAGAAGGCATCATGCGGGTGTGACAACCTGACGTGCTCAAAGTGCATCTGAGGTGAAAAAGTGTCAGCTGCCATTTTCCCTGCTACTTTGCCACAGATTAATGCAGCCCTCGAGTTGGAAGCAATTGTCCACAGGTTGGCAAGCTCGTCCACTCGTCACTTCCAGTCAAACGCACTTTGGCACGGGCGCAGGCACGTGAGCCAAAGGCGGCTCAGGCTCCGCCCAGCTCCTGTTGAAGAGTGGCCGCTGCGCTTCCCTTGCCTTACCATTTCCAGCAGGTGGGCGGGCGCGCTGCACTCCTCAGCCAGGACCTTGTCGAGTAAAGCCTCCCAGTCTTGGTGCCTCTCACGCACACCTGTGGTGGATCACGCCCACAAAAAAGGTTTGGACTCGCTCTCATCAGGAGCGAGATCAAAGAATGGACTGCTACGCAAATGATTCACTTGGCATGCTGCTATTTTAACGTCCTGTACGCTACGATATCGGGGGACTCGGCTGTGTGTGCTTGCCTTTGAAGGGGTGTGGCCTAATGAGCGACACCGAGACCATGGCCAGTCAGTCCCCCGGGCGAGCGTCGTGATGTGAGCTCCCTGGGAATGTTCTCGTCGGCTGTTTGAACCGTTCAACAAATGGCTGAAAGTGCCATTTCACTTTGAAGCTCACCAACACA